AGCTAGGCATTAAGCTTAGGTGTAAATGTGCTCCATAGAGAGAGTACATTAAGTGATAAAATTGTGAGTTTATCAAGATTGTGATCATATCCTAGGGGAGTGGGAAACACCCAGAGAGAAAAATACTTGATTGTATACTCTGTACAATTTTATCACGTAGTGGAATACCCTTTGGAGTTTATCTTGTGGTTTTTTCTCTCAATAGTTTTTTAGAGGTTTTTTCATATAAAATTTGGTGTTGTCTTTTTATTTATTTTTCCTTTTTCTTAAGTGGATGGTTAAACCACCCATTTCATTTTATATTTTATTTTCTTCTTAAGTGGCTGGTTAAACTGCACAATTTTATTTTGCTTGGCTAGCTACGCTGCCTTTATCACTAACCGTTAATATTAGTCAGCAAAGCCACCTATTTCACCATTCTTTGTTATTGTTCACATGTTTTGTTCATATGAATTAATTTATTCCATTGTGCCATTTTTCCCAATAGAAAGCACAATCTTAGCCTTATTAACAAGATGGTTCTCTAGTTTGCCTGCCAAAGCAAAGATTAATGGGCATCATTGCTGCTCTTGGTAAGCTTCCTAATACCAAGCAGCACTTGCTGCTTTTGGTAAACCTTCTGATAGTGAAGAAACCAATGAATCCTAAAGGGAAATTCTCTCCTCCAATCTTTTGACTTCGCTTTGGGCTCCCTTACTGATACTTCATCTCGGTGGCCTTGACACCATCATTGCCTATTCTTTTCAAGATACCCAACTCTAAACCAGACATCTCCTCACCTTAGTTGTCCAATCCTTTCTTGGCTTTTGTGTCATTTTTGGTCATTGATCCCATCTTGGTCCCTTGTTTTCACAATTCCTCTTTATTTTGTTGGAATCAACAAATACATAGAGAGGATTTTGTGTCTTAAGGTCACTAACTCTATGAAACCAAGTAGATCATCTTCGTCATTAAAAATCATGATCGACTATTTCCCCAATCATTAGACCTTCAATAAAAAATAGTCCTCCTAGGCTATGCATTGTTTACAATTATGAGACCAGATGTCAATGATTACCTTTACCATAAGGAGTATCTCTTGTCCTTTAAAGTGAGGATACAAAACTATCTAAGGGAAACCAACCATCAAGTCCACTCAGAAAGCCTTACTTAAAGAAGACATGAGGAGTAGTAATCATTTGACTCATTTCGACATAGCTATTGTAGAATTGGGATTTATATATGATGTTGTTTACACAAAAGCTACTTTCATTTATACTAGGAAATGATGCATCTTGTGCCTCACTAACTTCACTCTTTCCATTAGAATTCTGCTTTACTTCCTAACATCAATCAAGGATTCGATAGTATATGTATTTTTTCCAATTAATGTTTGCATAAAAATAAGCTTGTTGGTCGGAGCTGCTACATAGGATATTTGTGCTATGTTCTAAATTCTTTGTTCTGATTGAATAGTAATTTTAATGCATGACAATTGTTTGATACATAAAACTCTCCACTATGTCTTGCATTGCTTTCCTTACTTCTTATGTCAACAGAAGAGGTGGTCAGCTTGGATGAGACAATTTGATTTGTCGGATTATTGCTAGAATTCTAGGAAGGCCAGGATTAATAGCTTTCTATAAAAAAAAAAAAAAATACTATAGTAGTGATATTCTTGAAATTTGGCATAGGTTCAAGTAGATCAGGTTTGTGGAAGTTCCAAGCTGTTTGAAGCCAAAAGAGGTTTACCAAAGGTGACTGGATTCCTTCTTTTTGAGTGATTCCTTTGAAGCAACGAGGAGGGAGAAAACGCTTGATGAACTAAGGGAAGAAATATTAAATAGATAAATGTCAAAATCTTGAATGGAGCATCAAAGTAGACTTCAATGCCAGCATCATAGCCTGGCACCTAGTCACAAGTATTTGTTACTTTCAAGATTCCAAGAATCCTAATGTTGCACCCAATGAAGCTGAAGCCAAAGCCTTGGATAGTAGTAAATATTTATCAGACCATACGATGTATTTTTTGGTCATGCGACCTATGTTGGGAAAAATGGCGTAGTGGAATAAAATAGTTCATGTGAACAATAGTAAAAAAATGGTGAAACAGGCAATTTTGTTGGCCAATATTAACCGTAAGTGACAAAGATAGTTTAGCCAACCACTTAAAAAGAAAATAAAATAAGCAAAATAAAATGAGTAGTTTAACTAGCCACTTAAGAGGAAAAATAAATAATAAGACAACACCAAATTTTACATGAAAAAACTCTCAAAAATTATTAAGGAAAAAAATCACGGGACAAACGTCAAAAGTTATTCCATTATATGATAAAATTGTGCAAGTATACACTCAAATATTTTTCTCTCTTGGTGTTTCCCACTCCCCCAAGATATGATCACAATCCTGAAAAACTCACAATTTTATCACTCAATGTACTCTCTCTATGTAGCACACTTACACCTAAGTTTAATGCCTAGCTCTCATCCTTTTTTTTTTTCACCCAAGCCCTCTCTTTAGAACTCACTTTGCTTACTTGGTGTTGCTTACCTTGCTTGCTCATTGCCTTGCCTTTGCATGGATATTTATAAGGTAAAAAACCAACCACTCGTGCATGATTGCCTTGCCTCATTAAATGAGTAATCTTGGAATGGTTGAAAATAACCATCAAGATTTCAGCAATTACTGCTTATAAGTGTAGCCTTTTAGCTATAGGATGAAAAATTAACCACATGGAAAGTCCATGTGTTCACATGGGTTGGACTTCTATCAACAATCTCCCCCTCCAGTGCCATGGGAAGAGACTTAAATCTTGACTCCTTACGTGGAGTCCATCCAAACCAACGCCATGCAATATTCAAAATTTTCCCTGAGAAGAACCTTTGTCATCATATCAGCAACATTGTTGTTTCTACGAATCTTTCTAAGTTGAAACAGCTTGTTCTGTATCACCAAGTGCAACCAATGATATCTCATGTCTATATGTTTTGTTCAGGCATGGTACATGGTCTTCTTGCTCAAATCTAGACCACTTTAGCTATCACAAAATACTACGTACTCTTTTTTCTTCAATCCCAATTCTTGAAGGAATCTCTTCATCTAAAGCATCTCTTTACTAACTTCTATAGCTATGATGCATTCAGCTTTGGTTGTTGACAAGGCAACACATTTCTACAAGTTTGACAACCATGATACAGCTCCCCTTACAAAAGTGAATAAATACCCTAAAATAGATTTTCTATTATCAAGGTCACCTGCCATGTTTACATCTATGTATCCTTTTAGAAATGGTTCAATCTACCAAAATTCAAACAAAACTTGGTGGTTCCTGCTAGATATCTAAAGATCCACTTAACAACTTCCCAATAAGTCTTGCCTAGATTAGACAAGAATCTACTCATGACACGGACAGCATGAGCATTGTCTGGCCGTCTACATATCATTGCATACATCAATGAACCTGTAATATCCCAAATTTTCGGGAATATTTAAGTGTAAATTAAGGACTAACTTGTGAGGGAAGTCTTGTTTTGGGGCCTAATGTGAATATTTCAAAAGTTGAGGGACTTAAAGAGGGAAATATTTTGGATAAGGATGACTTCTTTTCTTTTTCTTTTTCTTTCTTTCTTTTCTCCCCAGCCATTCCCGATTCTGCTCTTCTTCTTCCCGCTGCAGCCACCCGAAGAAAAAAAAAGGGGAACCCAGCCATGCTTTGAGAAACCGGTGAGAAAGCTTGGAGATTTCTCCTTCCTTCTTGCTCTAGAACCTGAATTGGAACCCAGAAATTCTCCCCCCTGCATGAAGCTTTCGGATCTGCCTTGCTCTGCTCCTCACCGCCGGCTGCTCCTGCTTTGTGGGGGTGATTTGCTCTGGTTTTTTGGTAAGAAACAACCATGAATCTCCCTTCTCTAGCTTTGATTGCCTTGGGTTTATGTTAATTGCTCTTATTTCCTTGAATTTTGGGTTAAAGCCGTGAGCTTTCTTCTTCCATGCCGCCGGCCTTCTTCCCCAATCTGCTAGCTCCGGTTCCTTGCTTGTAAATTCTGGTATGTGGCAGCCTTAAACCATTGTTTTTAAGCTTGATTAAGGTAGAATTAGCTTGATTTATTGGCTGCCCCTGTGTGTCCGAATTATGCTAGAAAAATGGGGGGAATTTTGGTAGCCTTTGAGCATGTTTTAAGCTTGGTTTAAGTGTAAATTAGCTTGATTAATTGTTGTGATTTTTGGAGAGAAAATCCCGTGAGATTAGCTAGTGTTTTGGCCAATTTGTGGAAGTCGGGGTACTGTTCACGTCGGGGTTACTGTTCACATGGTACTGTTCACCGACACTGTTAACACCCCGAGGGCCAATAATTAACGGGGATTTAAGTGATTAGTTTGTGATATGAGAACGAATTTGGAGATATTTGATTATGTGGAGATTTATGGAAATAACATTGTGATTAGGAATGATCCTAGTGATGATCTCAGCTTGAATTTGTGATAGTCCGATATTAATTCTCGAAATATTTTGATTAGGTTCCCGATCGTTCTGCCAGTTAGCATTGAGATTGAGTGCTCGGTTTTATGCAAGTGAGGTAAGTAAATTATGGTAATGCCCTTTGATTTTAAAAGCATGTTTTGATTTGTTTTTGAAGTGGTGGCGGGACTAAACCCGTTTTACACAAGTATGACTGATTTTAAGTGAAATGTTTTATGCTTTTCATGAAATTGAGCGTGCCTACTTGAAATTTAAGTGATTGTCCTGATGATCTGAAAGTGACTTGAAAGTGATTGTGAATTGTGATTTTCCTGTGAACTTCTGCCTGTTTTGTCTCCGATATGGTCATGTATTCGTGTGCCCGCTAGTGGGAGGTTTATAAACGCTAGCACATGTCGACATGTTATTGATAGAACCGGTTCGCTTGTGGCCCTCCTAGTGGGGATTATACACTAGTACTCGTGTGCCCGCCAGTGGGAGGTTTATAAACGCTGGCCGTGACCTATAGAGGAGACGTCTATTTCGTGCCCGTACTGTATCCGTTTTTCGTGATTGTACTTGTTGGCATGCTTTAAGTTTGATAAAGGGCACTCCATATTTACTTACTGAGTTTATCTCATAGTTTTTCCTTGTCCACCATTTCAGGAAGTGAAACCGAGGACGGGAAAACCACGGGAAGTGACGAGTTAGAAGGTTAGCCATTTTGTAAAGTGAATATAAATTTTAGATATGAATCATGATCTTGTATTTTGAGATTTTATGATATCAGAGTGAATTTTAAAGATTTGATCTTCAGATTTTGATGGTATCAGAGTGTGAATTTGATAAGTTTCGAGCCTTGTGCATTTGTGGGACCCGTCTCACGAATGCACGGCGTCTGTCGCATCTCGAAATTGGGTTTTGGGGCGTGACAGAACCAAATGCAAAAGAATAAGGAATAGATGACATTTTCTCTTTTCTTCTTTGGTACTTGGGCAAGATCGTTTACTCAGCTTAAAGTGATTTGCAAAAGGGGTGCTAAATGGCTTAGCATGTTTCATGTTGAACCATTCAACATACTTAACCTATGATAACCACAACTTCCTAGCCTGCCTATCATGAGTAACATCTATACCCAAAATCTGCTTTGCTAGTCCCAAGTCCTTCATGTCAAAGGATTTGATAACTCATTTTTTAACCTGCAAATCGTCTTGACATCTTGTCCTAAAATCAGCATATCATCAACATATAATAGAAGGATAATGAAGTTGCCATCAAGGAATAATTTGATGTAGACACATGGATTTGCATTTATTCTTTGATAGCCATGGCTTGTCATGAAAGTCAAACTTCTTGTACCATTGCCTTGGAGCTTGTTTTAGTCCACGTAAACTCCTTTAGATTGCAAACCATATGCTATTTCCCTTTTTCTTCGAAACCTTCTAGTTGATCCCTATAAATTTCCTCTTGCAAGTTACCATGGAGAAATGCAATTTTCACATCCAACTACTCAAGCTCAAGATTCATTCTTGTTGCTAGACCGAGCACAACTTGAATCGAGCCCATTTTCACCATTGGAGAAAATATTTTATCAAAATCAATATGCTTTTTCTTATTGAAGCCTTTTACCATCTAATTATCTTGTCACCATCTTTCTTGAGCTTGACCACTCACTTGTTCCTTAGGGTTTTCCTTCTTTTAGAAAGTTCCACAAGCTTATAAGTGTTGTTCTTATGTAAGGAATTCATTTCTTCCTGCATGGTCATCATCTAGCGGTCTTTGTCTTTTTGAGATTGTACTTCCTAGAAGCTCTCTGGCTCCCCCTTTTTGATGATCAGGATATAATCAGAACTGTGGTGTCTTATAGATGATTTATGCTCTCTGGTGGACCTTCTCAATTGAGGTCCTTCATTGTGTGGTAGGAATTGCTCCCCTTGCTCATTATTTCCTCCATCTACACTTACTTCAACTTTTTTAATAGTTGGCTCTTCTGTCTTGTCTTTCGGTACTTACACCTCTTCTTCATTTATGATTTCTCCTCAAGGAGTTTTTGTTGGTGTTAGATCACGTATAGCCTCTTCAAAGCTTCTTATAACTTTCTCCTCCTTCAAATCATTAATTTTCTCATGTTCATGAAACACGACATACTTTTAACAATTTTCTTCTTTTTTGGGTCTCATAGTCTATCGCCAAACTCCTCATCACCATATCCAACAAAAATACATGGAATGGCTTTATCATTCAGCTTTGATCTTTGTTCTTTTGGCACGTGCATAAATGCTTTGCCCCCAAACACTCTTAAATGAAAGTATCCAACATCCTTTCCTGTCCATGCTTTCTCTAAAATGTCAAAGTTCAAGAGAATTGAAGGCGATCAGTTGATCAAATACAATCCAATGTTGATTACTTCAACCTAGAATGACTTAGGTAGATTTTTCATTCTTAACATGCATTGAACTTTCTCCACAATGGTACGATTCATCCGTTTTGAAACGCCATTATGTTGTGGAGTGCAAGGAACTGTCATCTCATGCTTTATGCCATGTTTTAAACAATAGAAATACACATGCAGGTAGAAATACACATGTGAGAACATGGTGATTCTCCTTACCCTACAGACGCACTTCATGGACAAATACAATCTTAGAGAAAGGTTTTTCACTCACATAGCTGGCAGAAATACACATGCATCATATCATATATAACATGGTTCCTTTGTGTTCTATCATGCTCTCATCACGTGTGCTCCATTTCCTTCTCCTCCTCGTATTCACCTTCCTCGTCATCAGTAACATCCTGGTATTGCTGATATTCAACACAAGATCATTCATGTTGGTCTCAGCTTCTGTGAACTCCATCTCGATCATCCATACCTTCACCGGTATACCAGCGCAAGAAAGCTTTTCTCCTAAACATGGCAGTGAACTGTTCACTCACTCTCCTAAACATTTCCTGGATGGAGGTTGAGTTCCAAATAAAAGCGGATGCCATTGGGAGCCCTCTTGGTGGAATGTCGCAGACGATAGATTGGACAATGTTTAGAATCCACTCAACAAAGTAGAAAGAGTTCTTATTTGGTGCTCATCATCTTGCCCCGTAGCAACCGTGTCTTGGGTCTGCAGCGCACATCATATTCTTTGCATCCCACATTTGTTGGGTTAGTTCTGGGACAGTCAGGGCATGGTACTGCTGGGATCCACAGGAGGTCAGAGTTAACCAAACATGTATTAAACTACTCATCAAGTACTATGTTTTATTTGGAGAGTGATGGATATATACTCAATTCCATAAACCATACTATATATTTATTTAACATCAATATTTTTTTATCTAAAATTAAAGACAAACAAACTTTAAAATGTAATTATATGTACGGGATATGAGAATCGATTAAATCAAGTTATACTTATATTACATTTTAATAATTGAAATAAAAAAGTGTTAAAAAAATGTTAAATAGAATATATATCAATTATTTTTTATTTTATTTATTACTTATTTATTTTTTTTACTTATATCAGATGCCACTAGATGTTTTAATCTAGAGTTTCATATGTTTCTAGTTCCCATTACTTTTTAAATGTGTAATTCAGACACTAAAATCACCAACATACTCTCTTGCTGAAACCATTTACTATGTTTATTCATTTATGACAATTTAATAATTTTAGTACCAAAATTGCACATTAAAAATATGCAATTCATACTAAAAAACATGAAACTCTAGATTAAAACATCCAGTGGCATTTG